ACCCACTTTGCCTGAAGCCCCCACCTGCAGGAGGATCAGCGAGGAGCTTTGAGGACTGGGTGGCATCTCTGACTGCCACACCCCTGACCCGGAAATGGATTAAATAAGGGGTAGAAATTTACATAACATGGCATTGTTATGTATTTGTTTATGTATATTGGACCTTACATTTCCAGGACACCTAAAAGTTTCTTGGAAAAGGCCTAAAAAATGCCAATTGTAAAGTGCTTTGTGACTCTGGTCTGTGCAAGGTGCAGATTACTTACTAAAAAAGTGCTACAGATTCAAATACAGTAAAACAAATAAAAACATCAGAATTAAAAAAGCTCATAAAAAGGACGGTTTTCAGACATTACTTGTAAAAGAAGCAAGACTAAAATCTCTAACTTTAGCGTCTTAAAGGAGCAGGTATAAAATCTGTCTCTGCTGCATGTTCCGTACAGTAGCAGTCTAATAAATGTCTGTTATACTATTTCACGAGTTCCTGGATCGAAAACATCACAACTTTTTATGTATTAGTCTGTTTCACATCTTTAGATCTGCTTTTTCAGACGGAAAAGCGACAAAGAGAGAACCACCCTCCGTCGGCCAATCAGCTCTCAGCTCAAAGAGTCCAATAGTGCCAAACTACATTATTATTTACGACACGCAAAGTCAGGTACCCCAGCTTTAAATACAGCACTTAAAATACTCACCTCTGGAAACATAAGCTTGGTCCAGATGAAACCTTTGAACCTTTCTCTCCCTGATCCTCGTGTTGTGTGTGTGAGAAACTCTCTGAGGGAAAGGCTGAAACTCTCCATGTGTTTAGTTTGGAGCAGCTCCGACACCCGAGCTCCGAGGCGTTCGCAAACACCTTGTAATATATAAGTGTGGTGGAGTTTACAGCGGTCCCTGAAGGCCACGCGAGGAAGACGGATGTACAGAAGTGACGCAATCCTCTGCTCAGAACACAGCAGCCAGCCGTGCAGCCGCTGGGCACGCTGCCTAGTTAAATGAATGGGAGTCAAAGCCGTGTCATACCTCATTTTAAAGCCATTCTTCCCACGAAAACAACCACATCATTATTTATGGGTCCAAACAATAAACGCAAAAGGCAATCAGGGATAATTCAGAGAGAATCAGTCGTCACTCTGCCTTCTTCACCTTTGGTTCTGGTTCTGTTTCCAGTCAAATCCTTTAAAAAATCTATTATATTTACAAATTTTTCTACTGGAATTCTGCCAAAGGAACACATTCAGACGAGGTTTTTGTGTTATTTTTGGTATTTAAAGCAGCATTATGCAAGATTTTCATGTTGAGTCATCATTAAAGGGCCGTAATCTGTCAAAAGTATTAATAAAACATGCTCTTTTCCAATACTTCTTTAACTGAAAACAGTAGTTCAGAGATATTTGGATTTCAAAATTACTTTTCCAGCCTCTAAATCTTGTTATTGTTTTCATTTTGATGTCCCGCCCTCCACCGTTTCACCAATCAGAAAGTTCGTGATCCGGGCGCCAGAACTCACCGTGTCGAGCTAATCTCACTGGTAAAGTACCATGTGGCGCAGAACTAACAAAGGTCTCGTTATGATTCTCAAATTATTAACGACAAAACAAGGAATAAAACCAGGATTTCTATCTTTGTGAAAAAGATGTTGGTTATAGATTTGTTGTTGACAAAACTCTTGTCTATTCAGCTGTTATGGTCCCAGCTGGATTCGTCTGCATATCTGGCAACCTGAGTCAGGGAGAGTGGGAGAGGCTGCAGTACCATTTTTGGCCACATTTTTACAGACTGCTGCTTTAGATACCAAAAAAAACACAAAAACGTTATCTGAATTTGTTGCTTTGTTGGAACTCCACGTGTGAAACTGTCGACTGAAGGATACGACCAAACTCAGGAGTAATTCATCTTTGTTTTAATGGTTTCCTCAACCTTTTATCACTTCCTGAGTCACTATATCAACTTGAAACTTGGAAAATGAAATCTTCCTCGTTGGGGCACATCTACCCTTGGCACTTTTCGGCACTTTAACCATCAAACTGCATCTCAATCATTTGGTAAAGGCCTATAATTAAAAAAGCTACGGGTGTGAAAAAAAAAGAAGAACACAAAAACAAATCATTTGCGTTATTGATCTCCTACATCTCAGAAAACCCATTACTTTCTTCAAGGAGTGAACATGAAAGGGTTGATACATTCAGACCTACTGTATGTTTTATAGGAAACGGTTGCAACAGGAGGACACAGAGAGAACATGCAAACTCCACTCTGAATGGCTCTGTCAGTGCAAGTCAGGACTGAGCATCTGCTAATCCATATATTTAGGATTTAAGGACGCATAGGACAATAAGTTATTCATAAGATTTACCGGAAACACTTGGAATTAACAGCTTATGTAAGGGATAACGTATATTACGCAGGTCATTATCGGAAAATAAGTACAGACAGGGCGAAGCGGACCCCGACGCGCTGCTTCCGCCCTGAAGTACTTATTTTCCAGTTAGGCTAACAACTTCCAAACTAGAACTCTCTGGAACTGCATGAAAACTGAACAAAGACTTCTGAACATCAGCGGTGAGTGACCCAAACATAAACTTAACCTAAATCCATAATTTGATCCTCTGCAAATGTGTCCGAAAATGTGCCGGTATCTTAAAATGTGCCGGTATCTACTTCCGGGTTTTTCGGGATCGCCTTTTCTCGCATTACATCAGTGTTTTTGTCATGAAAACGTAAACGGAAAATTCTGAAAACTTCCGTGCACTTGTATTAAGACTGGATATGTATAAATTACTCTCCGATTAACATTTCATTGCGTTGATTGATTGGCATTATTGAGCGGCCGGAACTACTTCCGGGTTTTTCACGATCGCTTTTTGACGCAGAGAAATAGTATTTTTGTCATGAAGACAAGACCAGAAAATTCTGAAAATTTCCGTGCACGTGTGTGAAGAATGTATA